GCCCCAGCTGGGGCTGGAGTGGGCCATGTTGTCTAGCAGGTGAGATGCCTCCCAGAGTGTGCCAAGGGCTCACGCGGGGATGAGCAAAACCAACTAAAATGAGGGAAAAAAGGGAAGTGGGGTGCAGACCTGTGTGATGTAAAGGGGGAGTGTCTCCAGCCCTGGGTTTCGGGTCCCAGGACAGTGACGATAAAAGTGTTGGGGGACGGTCAGCCTCTGAGCCCCCGACCATCAGACTTTGGCTTGGAGGGCCTGACCTGCTCATCTGCCCGGGGCCACAGGGGGGGCCCATATACAGGGAGGCACAGGAGGGGTGCAGGGCTGCCCTGAGCCCCAGCCTCGGACACAGACCCTGCAGAGTGTGCATTCAGGAGGCCGTGGAAGGGCCTGGAAGCTGCCCCGAGGGCTGGGACAGGTGGGGCGGTGATCCACCATCCAGGTCAAAAACCAAGGCTCAGAGCCAGGCCGGAGGTCGTAGGGGCCCAGCTAAGAGGGGCGTGTGCTCACAGCAAGGTCCCCGCCCTGCAGGAGTGCGTGGGGTGAAACCCTGGGCCACCCTGGGGGCTCCCCGGCTCTCCTGCCCCGCGGAGGCTCCTTAAGAGGCCGGCTCCTTCTCTGCGGTGCATTTACTTATGTTTCAGGGTGTGTGCTCGTAAGTGTGATCTTAGTTTATGGGAACAGTCATGCGACGCGCACGTGTGTTGGTGCTTTTTATGCCACAGCGTCGGACAGATCGCTTTGTCAGAACAGACCTCACTCATCTGTGTCGGCCCCCCACGGGCCGTGGTGCCCGTGCGCCCTGACTTCCTGCCGTGGGTGTTTGCCAGGAGGTGCCACGGGCACCTGTTCTTCATCAGTCCTGGGGAGCAGCCTGGGACGTGAGCTCTGCCTGGGCGCCAGCCCCGCGGGGTGTCCCCACTTCATCCCCCATACGTCGTGCACTGTCTGTGATGGATTTGGCTGAAAGCTGCAGGTCGCGTCTCCAGGCCATACACTGTGCTCTGGGGGCACCTGCCCTGCACCTCGGCCCACAGCAGCTTGCACTCCGGCCGAGCCCCGGGCCCAGCAGGGTGGCTCCGGCTGCTTCTCCTGGCTCCCAGGGAGGTTCTGCATCTTTCCAGATGTTTCCGGGAGCTGGCCTTTCTCCCCTGTGAGTTGCGGCCTCACGTTCTTTGCCACTTTCTTTTGAGCAATTTGTCCTTTTCTCAGTGATTTGAGGGAGCTTGTGTCCTCCGGATGCGGATCATCTGTGCCTTGGCCCTGCCACAGACAGTTCTCCCCCCACCGGGCGAGGAAATACTCCTTTTCCATTCAAAATACTCACTTGCAGGGGTTTCTTGTCCTCTGGAGGCTGTTAATCTTCATGGGGCAGAAGTCTCCTGGCAGTGGGATGCTCCTCCCAAGGTCACGCCTGTGCTCCCCACTGACCCCCACTCACCCCATGGCCTAGAGAAGACAAGGCCCCCACCCCTTACCAGCCCGAGTCCACTGGGCTCCCCTCTGGTTCTGCACACCCTGACCCCCCTCAGTGAGGGTCCTCCTTCCGGGCTGCCTGCTCTCAGCTCAGCCCACCCTGCAAGCCCACCCAGGGTTGGAGCAGCGCCCGGCCTTGTCAGGACTGGAACGCGGGCCTCCCGGCTCGCTTGCAGGACGCTTGCCACTAAACCACTCACAGAATTAAAATGAGCTTTTACAGAAGATTGAAAACACTGGCGGCCCACGCCAAGGTGATCCATCACCTAGACAAGGCTGCGGGCCGTTAGAAAGGAGGGCGCTCAACCACGCAGCTGCGCCACGGCGCAGAAAGCGGCGCGTCCACGGAGGGAATTCTGACCCAGCCATTAGGGGAGACGCTGTGCAGTCCCTGGTGTGGGAAGGGGCTTGAAGAAACAGCCACTGTGGTTCACTCTAAACATCTGGGCCACGAGGAACTCTCCCTGTGTTCTTGGATTCAGGAGCTGGTTGGTGGGGCCCAGCTGGGTCGGTGGCTGCCCTGGGGGGTCTGTTTGCCTCCACAGAAGGTTCCTCAAGGGAACTTCCTCGCCCCTCTGAAAATCCTCGGCCAACTTTTGCTGGTGAGGTATGACCGACAGTTTTAGAATCGTCTATACTGGAGGCGAACGACTAGATGATCTCATGCAGGTGCAGCCCATGAGCAGGTCGCCGCCGGCAGGCTAAGTAACGTCTCCATCCCATCGCGCTGTGGCTGTGACCCCCCCCGTCTCTCTCTCTCTCTCTCTCTTTTTTTGGGGTGATAACACTGAAGACCTACCCTCTCAGCAAACCTCAAGTAGTCGGTGCTGTGTGTGAGCCGTGGTCACACGGCCGTGCGCTGGATCCCGCCCCCCTTGTGGGGCTGTGACTCCGGGCCCGTGGCCGGCAGCTCCCGCTCCCGCTCCCAGCCTCTGCCAGCCAGCAGGCCACTCTCTGCTTCTGTGAGTTTGCCTCTGATTCCACATGCGGAGTCTGTCTTTCTGTATCTAGCTTATTTCCTCTCAGCTTTGTGCCCTCCAGCTCCACCCGGGGCGCCCCGAGCGGCAGGATTTCCTTCCCTTGGCAGCGGGAAGACATTGCACTGTTCCTGCGGACTCCGCCTTCTTTCTCCGTCCCCCCACCCCCACCCCCACCCCCACCCCACGCGCCTCACTGCAGCTTTACGCACCAGAGCCAGGATGTGCCGACGGCTGCGCTGTCCCTGGCCAACCTTGACCCCTTCCCTGCACTTTTAACAGAGTTCCCGCCTTCCTCCCGATGGCATCCAGGCCTCCGTTCCGCTTCCGCATCTTGGTGTGTTCTCTCTCTCCCCAGGCCTCAGAGCACAGGATGCCGGACACGCGGGGCTACTCTGCAGCCCATCGCCTTGCTCTGGCAGCAGCCGGTTCCGGTTCAGGCCGGGCAGCGTTGGCTGGGTGGGGGCAGAAGGGAGAGGCTGTGGCCAGGCCGGGTCCGGGCCCGGAGCTGGAGGTTGTGGGTGAGGTGCTAGAATGCTCAAGTGGATGTCAGGGGAGGTGGGCGTATTCCCCTCCAACCCAGCAATGTCTGGGTCTTGTGTCAACCCAAGCAATGGGCTCTTTTCAAAACAAATGCATCCCCCCAAGCTGAGGGGTGGGGGCCCTCTAGGACTGCCCGGAGAGGCCCCCCCAGAAAGCTCCCTTTGCCATCCTGATTGTGTTTGCTCAGACTGGATTGTTTCCGTCCCAGCGGCACGGCAGGTAAGTTCTCGATCACTGTACTGCAGTCAAGCCCCAGCTGTATTTCACGGAGTTTTTCAATAATGACCCTCAGCTTCCCAGCCCGTCCCCACAAACGGGCCAGCAGCAGCCCCGCGGAGCAATCTCCTGCACACAGGCCTGGAGGCCCAGAGCTGGTGCAGGCTGCAGGGGTGCGGCCGGCCAGGCAGCCCCCCCCCCCCCCCCCCCCGCCATCCTGTGGCGCACGCGTGCCCACAGACAAGCTGGAAGCCACATTCTTGGGTCTGAGGAAAATGGGCCCCGAGTCATGTCTTTATTGGTTACTTTGCCAGCTGCCAGATCCTTCGGGAGCTCAGTTCAAGCCATTTCCTATCTCCCTTCCCTCCCCTCGTGCACCAGCACCACCAAACAGCTCCCCACCCCACCCCAGGCCCACTGGGGCCTCGAGGACGGGGCGCCCAGGCCCCCTCCTCTGCTGGGGCAGCTCTGCCCTGTGGTTGAACGAAACGCTAGGGACACAGCGTTGCTCAGGCCATGGACAAATGCAGTTTTCTGCGTGTGCTGTTACAAACTCAAGAGGATGAGCCTGCCCTCTTTTCAAAGGGGAATTCTGTAGAGTCTTGCCCTGGTTTTAGTATAAATCAGTTGTTTCAAAATTGCTGGTAGGTTTTTCACTATACTTTTCCGAAGTAGATCATACATACAGAGAAGCGCACAAAATACAAGCGTTCAGCACAATGCAAGTTAACAAAGTGAACACGTCCATGTGCGCAGCCCCCAGGTCAAGATACAGAACATCTCCCGTATTCTGGAAGGCTCCCTCCCACCTCCTGAAGGTAACCTCCATTCCAAGAGAGGAGTCCCGCCTGCTTTAAAACTTCTCATAAGTGGAATAACTCCGGCCGTACCATTTTGGGTGGGGCTTCCCTTGTACAATCCCATGTGTGTGAGATTCATGCTTGGTTGGGGCTGGTGGTTGTGGTTTTTCATCGCTGTATGACCTTGCATCCTAGAGTAGATGGAGTCAGGCATCTGCTACCCACGGGCACTCGAATTATGAACAGTTTGGGGCCATTATGATTTGTGCTCCTGTGCACCTGACTGACCGCCTCTCGGCGCACGTATCTACGCACGCGTATGGAGAACATCTACGTATGTGTGCGTCGACTCGTGGAGTCAGAACACACAAACGTTCAGTTTTAAGTGGATGCTGCCATGCTGTTTTCTAAAGCAACTGTAACAGTTTCACTCCCATCAACACTGTATGGAGATTCCAGTTGCTCAACATCTCCACGTGGGTCTGTTTTAGCCTTTCTGTGGTGCTTGCGGGGAGCATACTCTTCCCTGCGGGGAGCCGATGCTGAGCACTTGTCCGGTTAACGCCCCCGGGGCTCAGAACCATGTCTGCATGCCCTTGTGCCCACGTTTCCACTCGCTCGTCCCCCTCTTCCGGACTGTGAGTTCTTATCCTGTTCGGGATGTGAAGCTTTGGGCCCGTGTACGTTCTGTAAACACTCCACTCTGCCCTTTGGTTTCTGTTTTTACTGGTGTCTTGTGATGAAATCAACGTGATGTTTGAAGTAGCCAGGGCAGCTGAATCGCAGGGAAGGAAGTGGGGGCTCTGCAGCCAGAGGCAGCGCTGGGCCCCCAGGGCCTGTTCACAGGGTTGGGGCACCACCACCCCGGGGCCACGTGAAGATGAGGTCAGACTGGGTGTGAGCAGGAGGGAGTGGAGCCCCTGGGGGCGGGTCCTCTGGGGTGGGAGGAGCTGCTGTGCAGCCCTGCGGAGGGGAAGTGAACAGGCAGGGCTGGGAGAGAGAGTGCATCATAGTGCCGGCCTCCCTGCCACATGTCGTGGCCCTGGGTAAGTGACCCCCTCTCTGGACCGCAGTCTCCCTGCCTGCCCAGCAAAGGTGTTGACGTAGAAGATTGTTGAGCGCGCCCTGGGCCCCCAGCCGGACTGTGACCCTCCTCCTCTAGCATCTCTGGCCGCTGACAGTGCAGCCTGGGGACTCCAGGCTCCCTGGGGCTGATTCCAGGTTCACCTCCTGCTGGCCCCGCAGGCCACTGACCTCTCCCCGCTTCGGTGTTCTGAGCTGTAGCATGTAAGTGACAAGAGTCCAGCCCAGGCTGTAAGTTTTCATCCTGGCAGCCGGGGACATGTCATCACAGCTTAGGAGCCCCTCTGCTGGGTTGACACCCAGCTTTCTTGACGTCTGCTGTGTGTCCTTGGGCAGGTTACTCAGCCTCTCTGGACCCCAGCCCCCTCACCTGTAAAACGCGGTAAGGGTCACACCATCATGAGCAAGTTAATGTACAGAAGGCTGTCGGCACCACCCCAGTGCACATGACGTCGGTAGCAGGTGGATCTGCAGCAGAGGTAGGAGCCTCGTTCTCAACCCAGACTTCCCCGTGAGGCTGTCCCGCTCATTGTTGATTGTAATGATCTACTTGTAACTTTAGTGAAATTCTTTATGAAATAACAGAAAACATAGAGGATGTTTGTGGATGGGGTGTGGAGGGAGGCAGGGGGCTGCCTGCAGTGGGGAAGGTGGGTGGAGGAGTGGACAAGGCCTGGGGTGCAGCGCACAGCCCGGCGCTGCCCCGGCTCCTGGCCTGGCTCCCGGAGCTGGGAATGCTCATGGCAACAACCCCCCTTGGACTGGATGTGACGTCCTGGGGCCTGTGCCCCACCTGGCCCCACACTGAATGTGGGATCCTATGGCTCAGACTTCATCCAGATGGTGTAGGACTAAGAGTGGTTGCCTGCTCAGAGACACGTGGCTCTAGAAGATGGAGCTGGATTGAGCCACAGGATAGGGCTTATGGGCGTGGCCTAGGTGAGCAGGGGCAGATCCGGGGCGTGTGCAGGAATGACGGGGTGAGCAGGGGCAGATCCGGGGCGTGTCCAGGAGTGACGGGGTGAGCAGGGGCAGATC